ACATTTTCAGACAAAGGACCTTTCAAATACTTAAATGTGAAATGTTGACATTGTCTACCTAATATTTTACTGAAGCTATAAAGATACTAATATGGTATCTTCAGAGTACTTATATATGTATTTTAATGGCAATTCACCTTAAACGTCACCAAGGGTCAAACTTACACTCAGCATTCATATATATTCAATAACCAAACATTTTAGAATGTGCAGTAAGAGCCAGCCTTTCTCTGACCTCTTATCATTTATTGAAACTTAAGCCCTGCCCAAATATACACAAGAACATAGTTTAATGGAATTTTTCGAAAAGATTCCTGCAGAGACTAGAGGCCTGGAAGCCAACATAGTTCAGGGGCTGGCAACGTTTGTTTAGACATGTAATAAAGGGAGGGAATACACAATCCAATAGCAAAAAGGAAATAAAAGAATCTCAAATATCCTCAAAGGATCCTCAATCTGATGGTTACATTTTTAGATACGACCTGTTAATACAGGCAAATGTATTAGTAAATGTATGTGCACTGGTCTTGAAGTGAAATAAAGGGCTTCTTAGGTTCCTTGCATGTCTTGGTTTCAGTTGGGATAGAATTAGTTTTCTTCTGAGTAACTGGCACGGTGCTTATGCTAAGCCAAGGCCTTTTCAGCTTCTCATGCTGCCCTGCCAGCGAGGAGGTTGGGGCTGCACAAGGAGCTGGGACGGGACACAGCCAGGACAGCTGGACCTAGGGGGCCAGAGGGATGTGTCCCATACCACATGGCATCATGCTGGACAATAAAAATGGAGGGAGTTGGCTAGGGGGCTTCTGCTGTTTGGGGTGGACATTGGCCAGAAGGTGGTGAGTGATTGTATTATGCATCAATTTCTTTGTATATTATTATTATTGTTGTTGTTGTTATTATTATTATTATTATTATTATTATTATTATTGTTATTGTTATTATTATTATTATTATTATCCCCCCTTTCTTTTGTGTCCTGTTAAACTGTCTTCATCTCAATCCATGAATTTATATCTAAATATATTTATATCTATATAAAAATATAGATATATATATTTATATATAAATATACGTATATATATTATATATATGTATATTATATATAAATGATACATTACACATTATATTATATATAATACATTATACGTATTATACATATGTATATTATTACATATTACTTATTTATTACATATGTATATTATATTATATTATATTATATTATATATTTAATATATTTTTATATACATATACTTTTTTTTTTTCTGATTCTCTCCCCCAAGAGTGGTGGGGAGTGAGTGAATGGTTGTGTGGTGTTTAGCTGCCTGCTGAGTTAAACCACAGCACTCCATCAGACAAACATAGCTTTGATATATGAATCAGATGAAGACTCCTTGACTACAACAACCTGTAAGCCTTTTTCTTTAAGGAATATTTTTCATCCAAAAAATGGTATTCATAAAATAAATAAATAAATAATATAAATATAAATATATAACTGGTGCAGAAAAGGAAAACAAATTTAGAAAAGAAGGCCTGTGTGCAAGATAAAATATTTACATGAGACACAGATATCTAGAACTACAGGAAAAGAAAGCTAGATTTCATCTAAGAAGGAGGAAGAATACTCAGGCTGGCCAAGAATTCCTATCTTCTTCAGAATATGAAAGAAAATTGTTTTGGGAAACAAAAAAAAAATGTTCAGGAATGAATTTAATAATGATTTCTTCAGTTGTTTGGAAAACAGTAGCAAAACCATGAACAATAATATTATACAGAAGAAAAAGACACAAACATTTCTTAACATACTTGCCACTTGTTTTAATTATAATGACATTGCACAGTTGGTAGGGGACACAGAAGCAGCTGAGGTATTTAATGGTTGGAAATAGAAAATAAGGTTTCATTAAATGCTTATGACATGTTTTTCATGCAACATACATATTAAAGTTGGAAAGGATTATTGTATTTTTAATTTTTATTTTTGAAGAATTGAGAGTATGAACTACTTTACTGTAAGCCACAGATCTGTTGTATCTGAAAACACTAAAGGGTGACAAATAACTTCTAAAATGTATAGGTAATAAATTTAGATATTTTGGCATTGCTATTCGGAAGAAGGAGGATCGGTGTTGTTGTTTCAATGAAATATGGAATTGCAATTACTTATTATGATGTTAATGGGAAAACATTATTACCAGTTAAATGGCCTGGAGAATTCCAGGGATGTAAATGGAATTTAGTTGGACTTTTGTATCTCTCTCTTTTTTTTTTTTTTCTTGAATCTCTTTTAACCCAAAGAAATCTTTAAAAATATTTAAACAATTCCTAAAGCTTAAATTGCCAGGTAATTTGCAAAATGCAACAACTGAGATAATTCCATAGCAGAACAAATCAGAGCAGTGCTATCACATAATTCCTAGTGGAAACACGTCTTCAGGAAAAGAACAGAACTTACTGACCTAGATCAGGTAATGTAACAAAACCCGAAACCTTTATTCTAAAAATTATGATTAGCATGAAACAATGTTTGGAATTTGAAAGCACAAGCAGCAGTCTACAGCACTTCAGGTAGTATGTAATTAGCTTCTATGTTTTATGTGTGTGTGTGTATATATATATATATGTATATACATATACACTGTGCAGATGTATGTGCATATCTGTATGTTCATATCTACATGCAGAGAAAGAGAGAGGGGATAGAGTTGATTTCCCATTAGAATCCAAAGAAAAGTTATTCAAAATTTGAAACAAATGGAAAGATTAATTCATGGCATATGACCTTAGACAACATAGTATTTGTAACAGTATTTATAACATAAATATATATATATATATATATTAAAGATAATTGTAGTGACAATTTTTAGAAAAAGTCCTTGATAAAAACAAGCTAGTAAAGCTATTTACTTTATGAATTTTCACACAGAAATCTGAAACATGCAAAGGCAATGGAAGTTGTTTTGTAACGTATTATTTTAAGGCTGTGGTTTTAAAAACACAAGTTCAAAGCCCATAAATTTATGAAGTGTGAATTGCAAATATGAACCAACAGGAAAAGGTTAGAATGAGCTAACACAGTTCACAAATACTATCTCAAAATTAACCAGATAACAGAAGGTCAGTTCTATCTGTTTCAGAGAACATTTTAATCTTTGTATAATTAGATAGTACTGTTGTCCCAGATATCAATGTGAAATGTAAAACTACACAGGCCCCACTTCATAGAGGACATGACAAAGAGGGGAGAGCTAGTGCAGGGATTCAAAAATGATGTGGTAATGAATTTTGTAACAGTATTCTGGGAAGACATGAGTGGGGAAAAACAAATTAATCAGGGGAAAGGATGTTACAGAAAATGAGATAGGAGGTGATGAAAGCCTTGTTGAGGGTGGATAAGAACGGGGGTCAGTATGACTTTATCTTGCTAACATACTAACTTCTTTTTAATTTATGTTTCTTTACCAATTCTTGGCAAAAACACAGACCAAGCTTATCTTTTGGATGAAACATCTGGGTGAAAATGCATTACTTTTTAAACAGTTCTCAGATTGTTATTAAACGGATGGAGTACTTATGTTAATCTTTTCAATATGTCATCATCTAAATAATACCAAGTCATTTTCCTACCTTTTCTTTGCATTTCTACAATGCTCTAAGAAACACCCTTTCACAAAAATAGTAAGAGCATTGTTACTCGTTAAGCATTTCTCAAATGTTAAGTGCATTTCAGAGAAATGAACTTGGCACTAACCAGAAAGTACACAACTTTATTCTGTTACTATATATATTTTAAATTGAAGAAGAGATATTTTACAATGCAACTATACTTCTGAATAAAAATTTTGTATTCTTGACTCAAAATTTTGCTTTTAGTTCTGTATCACATCTGAGTTCTACATTATTCAAGTTTTCACTGATTCCTGGCTATCGGGTGAGGTCCCAGTCGACTGGCAGCTAGCAAATGTGATGCCTATCTACAAGAAGGGCTGTAAGGTAGACCTGGGGAACTATAGGCCTGTTTGACCTCAGTGCCAGGGAAACTCATGGAGCAGATTATCTTGAGTGTCATCACGCAGAACTTGCAAACCAGGCGATCAGGCCGAGTCCGCATGGGTTTATGAAAGGCAGGTCCTACTTGACGAACCTGGTCTCCTTATATGAAAAAGTGACATGCTGGCTGGATGAGGGAAAAGCTGTAGATGTGGTCTACCTTGATTTCAGTAAGACCTTTGACATGGTTCCCCACAACACTCTCCTCAAGAAATTGGCTGCTCATGTCTTGGACTGGCGTACGCTTCGTTATGTTACAAACTGGCTGGATAGCCGGGATCAAAGACTTGTGAATGGAGTCAAATCCAGCTGGAGGCCGGTCAGTAGTGGTGTCCCCCAGGGCTCAGTACTGGGGCCGCATGAGGGGATCAAGTGCACCCTCAGTAAGTTTGCAGATGACACCAAGTTAGGTGCGTGTGTCAATCTGCTCGAGGGCAGGAAGGCTCTGCAGGAAGATCTGGAGAGGCTGCACCGATGGGCTGAGGTCAACTGCATGAAGTTCAACAAGGCCAAGTGCCAGGTCCTGCACTTGGGGCACGACAACCCCAAGCAGAGCTACAGGCTGGGAGATGAGTGGTTGGAAAGCCTGGCAGAGAAGGACCTGGGAGTATTGGTTGGTAGTCAGCTGAATATGAGCCAGCAGTGTGCTCAGGTGGCCAAGAAGGCCAACAGCATCCTGGCTTGAGTAAGAAACAGCGTGGCCACCAGGACAAGGGAAGTGATTGTCCCCCTGTACTTGGCACCAGTGATGGCGCACCTCGAGTACTGTGTTCAGTGTTGGGCCCCTTGCTACAAGAAGGACATCGAGGTGCTTGAGTGAGTCCAGAGAAGGGTGACAAAGCTTGTGAGGGGTCTGAAGAACAAGTCTTACGAGTAGCATAAGACTCCTTCTGCAAAAGGAAACCCCCCTTGAGGTTTCCCCAAGAAGGGCAGGAAAGAGCAGCTGATGAGGTTGTGAATCAGAAGCTTTATTTGAGTAACATTTGAGAGACATGGGGTGCAGTGGGGTGGGGTGCGGTGTCATGGAGGCGTGCCGAGCTCTCTTTGTCCATAGCTGCGGGGCCTGTGGTTGTGCTTGTAGGACCATGTCAGGGTAGAGGCGGGGTCCCTGTGTGCTTGCTGCTCCTTCGATGGCTGTGGTTGTAGAAAGCTGCAGCAGCCTTCAGGCCGTGGAGCAACTGGGCAGAGGCGGGAAAGGACAGTGGCAGACCTTGGTCTCCTCGGGGCGCTGTGATGGGGTGAGAAAGGAAAATGATCAAAAAGAGCAGCCCCAGCCCACGGCCAGGGGCAGGCCCTGCCTCCCTGCGTGAGACACTCCCAGCCCGACAGCAAGGCCATCCTTCCTGTGCATCGCTGACAGCCAAGAGTCAGCTGTGTTAGGCCAGGGCAGTGAGACCATAGAGGTGGGCAATGGGCTGGGACAATCTTATCTGTTCTGGAGAGCGTGGTGAGTTCTCCGCCAGAGTGCTGAAAGAGAGAGGCCAGGAATGTGTCGTGGCGTCATTCCCTCACTGTCAGCGTGTCCAGCTGTAAGAGAGGAGGCGAAAAAACGAGCAGCCACCCCCTGGCAGCACTGCAAGCCATCCCTTCCTCCCTGTGCGAGGCTCTCCCAGCCACACTCCAGGGCCGTCCATCTCACATCTCCCTGACGGCCAGGGGATGCCCATCATAGCCCAGCCATGTCACCCTCTGGCAAGCTATGAGAGTGTGGTGGGGTGTGGGTTGGGGATTGCTTATCTGTCCTGGAGAGTGTTGGCAGCTCTTCCTTCCAGCTGAGTTCTCACAGGCAGAGAGGGCAGGATCGTGCCATGGTCTGGTCCCATCCCTGTGTGTTTCTGGCTGAAAGAGAAGAAGCACCAAACTGAGCAGCATCCCCCTGTGACAACGGGCAGCCCCTGTCTTTCTGCCCATAGCGTGTAACGTCTCACCGAGGCTGTCTGTGTCCCCTTGTTCTGATGGAGCTGTCACAGCTGTCCTGGTGCGAGCGTGTCAATGTCCTGCTTGCTGTGGACCGGAGTGGGGAATGGTCTGGGGCAATCTTACCTGTCCTGGAGAGCGTTGGCAGCTCTTCCTCCCAGCTGAGTTCTCTCTCAAGGGCAGCGAGACCAGGAGTGTGCCATGGTCTGGTCCCATCGCTGGGTGTCTTTCCAGCTATAAGAGAGGAAGCCAAGAGAGAGCAGCCTTCCCCTGTGGCCAGGAGCAGCCCCTGCCTCCCAGCCTGAGGCTCTCCCAGCCTCACTCCAAGGCCGTCCTTCCCGGGTCAGCCACGTTGCGCCCACTTTCCGGGCATTTAGACCGTGGTTTGCAATAGATTGGGGTGATCTTATCTGTCCTGAAGAGCGCTGACTGCTTTTGCAGCTGACTTCTCCAGCGCAGAGAGGCCAGGAGTATGCAGGGCTCTACTCTCATTCCTGTCTCTGCCGCCCTTCAATAAGAGAAGGAACAAACTGAACAGCACCTCCCTGTGCCCACGAGCTGCCCCAGCCTCTCTGACTGAGGGACTCCAGCAACTCACCACGTCCGTCCATCTCTCGTCATCGTGATGGAGCGCTCCTGCCTTCCTGGCCCGATCATGTCACCTTCCTGCTTGCTGCGGACCATGGTGGGGGTGGCTTGGGGCAATCTTACCTGTCCTGGAGAGCGTTGGCAGCTCTTCCTTCCAGCTGAGTGGTCAAGGGCCGTGAGGGGGTAGTGTGCTATGGTCTGGTCCCATCGCTGTGTGATTGTGGCTGAAAGAGAAGAAGCACCAAACAGAGCAGCATCCCCCTGTGACCACGGGCTGCTGCCCCCTCTCTGCCCGAGGGTCTCCAGCATCTCACCACGTCCGTCCATCTCCAGTCATCCTGATGGAGCATCACTGCCTTCCTGTCCTGAGCATGTCTGTCTTCTGCTTGCTGTGAGATCATGCTGGGGTGTGGGTTGGGGCAATCATACCTGTCCTGGAGAGCGTTGGCAGCTCTTCCTTCCAGCTGAGTGGTCGTGGCCAGTAAGGGAGGAGAGTGTTGTGGTCTGGTGCCATCGCTGTGTGTTTCTGGCTGAAAGAGAAGAAGCAGCAAACACAGCAGCATCCCCCTGTGAGCACGGGCAGCCCCTGCCTCTCTGCCTGAGGGTCTCTAGAGTCTCACCGAGGCTGTCCGTGTCCCGTCGTCCTGATGGAGCTGTCCCTGCCATCCTGGCCTGATCCTGTCAGCTGGCTGCCTGCTATGGGAGCGTGGGAGGGTGTGGGTCGGGGTGATGTTACCTGTCCTGGAGAGCGTGGACAACTGTCCGGCCCCGTGCTGGGAAGGAGCGGCCAGGAGCGTGCGGTGGTTCAGTTCCCGTTGGAGGCGAGGGCCTGAGGAGGGAGGAGAGAGGAGCTGAGTTCCTCTGGTTGCCTTTGTGTCCAGAGCGGAGGCTGGAGCCGCAGCAGAGGAGCAGGCAGCCGAGCAGCCTCCCCGTCAGCACGGGCAGCCATGGCAGGGCTGCCCAAGCGCCCAAGTGCCGCTGGGGCCAGCGTTCCGGGGCCAAGGCCGTCCCTGCCCCTTTGTGACATGGGGCACCCCCTGCCTGCTGAGCCACGGGCAGGGCAGCACTGCGGGGGGGTGGGGGGCAGCAGCTGATGCGGAGCCCAGGCCCGGGCCGGGCGCTGGACAAGGTGCCCTGGGGTTTGGGCAGGGCTGCGGGGCCGTGCCAGCAGGCTGTGGGAGCGTGCTGGGGTGCGGCTGGGGCTGTGCTGCCTGCCCTGCAGGGCTCGGATAGCTCCCCGCCGAGGGGGAGAGGCCAGGAGCGTGCCCCGCTTCGGTCCCATCGCTGCCTGTGCCTGTGCGTGCGGTGTGGCTGGAAGAGGAGAGGCCAGCAGAGAGGAGCCCCTCGGCTGCCCCCCATTGCTGTGCAGGGGGACACGTCTGGTGCTGCCCACCACGGAAGCCCAAAGGAAGAACCACATGAATAAAACCAGTGAAAAACCCAAAGCCACGCGTTGTGATTCTGGGGAGAGGAATCAAGTAGCTGGAGCAGCAAGTGCAAGAGCAGCTGCTCAGCAAAGGTGAAGTGAGTTCGTTAAATCACAATGCTAAAGAATAAAGTTGAGGAAAAAACAAGAAATCCCAAAACTCTACTAAAAGTGAAAGCAGCTGAAGTGGTGTCAATTTTATCCGTTATTTGCCGGAACACTTCCCCTAACAGAAAGGGTACTGCTAAAGGACGCTCTGAAGGACATCATTAAGATCAGTCTGACCTCTAGTCTCGGTGTGACCAAAATCAGTCCACTTTTGGGTCAGAATTCTGTCTGCTGTCGTGCAGGGGGGCTCTGCTGAAGCCAGCAGAGTTCCCCATGCAGCGGGTTCCCAGCCCCAGCGACAGACATCAGGGACCTTTGTTGGTCACTTCCAAGGACAAAGTGGTATTTGACTCTTTGGTTTTGTTTGACCATCAGTAAATGCACGGAGCTTGCAGAGCAGCTTCCATGTTGCTGCGTGAGCACATCAGGCTGTTGGGAACTTCAGCCCGTGTTCCTGCAGAGGGCCAGGCTAGCATAAAGTAGACAGCTGTAATGGGAATGAGGGAACGCTGCCTGGATTTCCTGCGGCCTCCCCATAAGTAAGAGAAGGCATTACTATACAGAGCGCCCTGTATTTTCTCCTCCTTTCCCTACCCACAGACACCAAACCTGTAAGAGGAAGTCAGAGGTGTCTTCCCCAAGAGAAAGAGGGGGAAAGTGTGCTGAAGGGCACGGCACGTTGCAGAGAACAGTGACCGATCTGGAGGCGAGAGAGGCTGCAGCGCGCAGTGGGTGGCACACCTGAGGCTGTCCAACTTGGTCCTGGGCCCCCCAAACAAAACTGCTGTCAGGGACATTGCAGCTCTCTGCAGGGATGCTCCTGGCTGTGCGAGGCCCGGGTTTGCTCTTGCCTTGCCCCTCAGGGTGCAGCAGGCTGTAATTTGCCATGTTCTTTGGCTTTCTGTCTGGAAAAAGGCATTCCTGACCTGGCCGTGGGTGGAGAAGCAGAAATCTTAATGACTTTATCGAAGCGTTGCCCGAAAATAGATGACTGGGGATGCTTTTGCGTCTGCAGGGGGAGTCCCTCAAGGCACCTTTTGCCAAGGCTGGGTCAGCTTCGGCACCTCCCCACAGTCTGTGGGGCGGAGGGGGGAATGGCAGCCCTCTGGGCGGAGGCTCACGGTGCTGTGGCATGCACAAGGCTCAGGTGGCTGGAGCGCAAGCACGCTGTGCAGTGGCTGCTGAGCCCCTTGTGCACAGTGAGGTGCTGGGGGGTTCTGTCCTTGCAAGGCTCTGCAGAGATGTTCCTCTGAACCATGTGTGGCTGGAAGCAAGCCTGCTGTTGTAATCCAGTTAAATTTAACTGGAGTTAAGTCCAGTTGGAGGCCGGTCACTAGTGGAGTCCCCCAGGGCTCAGTACTGGGGCCAGTTCTCTTTAATATCTTTATCAATGATCTGTATGAGGGGATCTTGTTCATCCTCAGTAAGTTTGCAGATGACACCAAGTTAGGTTCGTGTGTCGATCTGCTCGAGGGCAGGAAGGCTCTGCAGGAGGATCTGGAGAGGCTGCACCGATGGGCTGAGGCCAACTGCATGAAGTTCAACAAGGCCAAGTGCCGGGTCCTGCAGCTGGGGCACAACAACCCCAAGCAGAGCTACAGGCTGGGAGATGAGTGGTTGGAAAGCCTGGCAGAGAAGGACCTGGGAGTATTGGTTGGTAGTCAGCTGAATATGAGCCAGCAGTGTGCTCAGGTGGCCAAGAAGGCCAACAGCATCCTGGCTTGAGTAAGAAACAGCGTGGCCACCAGGACGAGGGAAGTGATTGTCCCCCTGTACTTGGCACCAGTGATGGCGCACCTTGAGTACTGTGTTCAGTGTTGGGCCCCTTGCTACAAGAAGGACATCGAGGTGCTTGAGTGAGTCCAGAGAAGGGTGACAAAGCTGGTGAGGGGTCTGGAGAACAAGTCTTTTGAGGAGCAGCTGAGAGAGCTGGGATTGTTCAGCCTGGAGAAGAGGAAGATCAGGGGTGACCTTATCACTCTCTGTAAGTACATTAAAGGAGGCTTTAGTGAGGTGCCTGGTGACAGGATGAGGGGGAATGGGCTGAAGTTGCGCCAAGAGAGGTTTAGGTTGGATATTAGGAAAAAATTCTTTACTGAAGGGTTGTTAGGCTTTGTAATAAGCTGCCCAGGGAAGTGGTGGAGTCACCATCCCTGGAGGTCTTTAAAAGACGTTTAGATGTAGAGCTTAGTGATATGGTTTAGTGGAGAACTTGTTGGTGTTAGGTCAGAGGTTGGACTCAGTGAGCCTGGAGGTCTCTTCCAACCTAGATGATTCTGTGATTCTGTGACTGCAGATCAGGATATTCTTCTGTTTCATACAGCATGAAATAACTAAGCAAAAATCAGTTATGTTGGTCGTGTGTTTTGAGAAACAGAAACTCCCTTGAGTGCAAGAATGTACTTACCTGTACAGTTTTGAAAAACTAAAAGCAGCAAAATTCTTCACTCTTTGAAACCTGAGCTATTTACATTTGAAAAGCAGAAATGCAAAAAATATGGAACCCTTTTATTACAATTCTTACAAAAACACATTTCACAGCAGGTCAAGACATTACAGGGCCTCTATCAAATGTTTTAAGCATCTTGTGGAATGGTTAATTTGTATGGTGTGATAGAATTCTGCTTCTAAAGAAATGGAATTGCACACCCATCGATGGCAGAGAGAATCTTAATTCTTTTCTTTGCTATTATTTATGTGGAGGAAATTTGAAGGAAGGGGTGGAATATATACTTACTCAAAAACGTGTTGAAGACAGATTTCTAAGGATAAGAGGTATTTGACAAGCATGTTGGAATAAATGCTTGTACAAAAACTGGAAGAAACTTTCTTGTTTTCAAAAAAGCTCAAAAGCTCACAGAACAACTTCGTTATTAACTAGTTCTTCTTTAATGTAACATATGCCAGGGCCATTTTTTTCATTTATTTTTTTTTTCATTCAAAAGCTTTTATTTTCATGAACCTTTTTTTTTTTTTTTTTTTTTTTTTTTTTTTTTTTAATGTAAGGAGTCTCATTTATACTATTAAATTAATGTTCAACTAAGATTCTTCCTTGCAGTCAAGGTGCCAGGAATTCTACTCTCACCTGCTATTTTTGAAAAATATTTCCTCTCAGGTATCTGAAGAACTTCAAATGAGTTTGGTGCTTACATATTTAGGTCTTATTTATTTATTTATTTATTTATTTACATTAACTCAGACACACCTTTCTAATGCTAACATAAAGATAATGGAAAAGAAGTTAGGCTTTCAAAGGCTTTGAGAACTAAAGTAATAGTTTACCTCATCTTTTCTGGTCACTTAGAGTACTTAAAGCATAATGCTCGTATATAGATACTGATAGTCTAGGATTCTTATAATGCTCTAGTAGGTGAAAAAATAATTCCTCATTTCTGCTATAAATGTAGATTTATCAAAGGATAATATCTAGCTGTCTAAAGCTGTGGTTCCATGTTTACATTAGTACTTCATATTACTGTAGAGTACAGGCTTGAGTCAGTTCAGACAGCAGGGTACTTTTCCAACAGCGCTGTTGACTTAGCGAGAGCTAATGGTAGAAGTTTTTGGATGGCAAGAAGCTTGATGCTCTGATTGCTGTGTGTGCAGCAGTCAGTTCACTTCTCCTCCCTGTTTCCCTGCAGGGCTCTGCAGGGCTATTCTCTTGAGAAGAGCTGGCCTTCTGATTATAATATCAGACTTTCCCTACGTCATCGCCAGAAACAAGTGCCCTTAAAGCATTACTTCACTGCCAGGACACCGTTCAGCACTGCAAAAGCAATACATCATTTTTATTTTCCCCTGACTGGTGACTGCAGCAGCAGAAGCATGGATCCTTTCCTGATGATAGCAGTTCAAATTCTGATGCAGCTGTATTGACTCTCTCTGTGCCAGGAACAGGTCATCTCGTTCATTAATGGTCATATACAGGTAGAATAGGCACATACAGAGATGCAATGACAGCAGGCTAGGCTACCCCAAGCCTAGAAATTCTTACTATAGTGTAGGGCTTTGCATGAAGATTTACAGCTACTTGCATTTGCACACAAGAATCAGATCTGAATCAAGAATCGAACTGTGATTGATGACCTGTAAGCTATTTTCTGCAAATTCACATTTGTTGTTCTTCACAGCTTTGCATCTTGAATTGAAACTAAGACTCATCATTCCCCATACCTTTTTTTCCTCAACTACTTTTTTTCCTTATTTCTTGCAAAAGCAGAATTCCTGACATTTGAGGAGCACAGTTTTGAATCACTCACTCCCTGACCATGTATACAGATGACTCCGGCATTGTTTTCCAGATCCCAGAACTGCAATTTGATTGCTTTCTAATTGCAATTTAATTGCATAATAATTGCTACTTAATAATCGTTCAATGAAGAAAATACAAGGAGTGATTAAAAAGAAATGCAAAACATAAAACAATCAAAATGCAGGCAACTATTTATGTTCAACAATTTATGTATAGTTTTAAATTAGAAGGAATGAGAAACATGTTGAAAAGTTATTTGCATGAATGACACTAAATTAGGATCTGTTGTCTCCCTCAAAGGCAGAGAGGACTTGCAGAGAGATCTTGACAGACTAGAGGGCTGAGCAAACACCAGCCACACAAAGATTAAACAAGAACAAGTTCCAGAGCCTACATCTGGGATGAGGCAACCCTGTCTGTATGTTCAGCCTGGGGCATGAGAGGCTGGAGAGCAGCCCCACAGAAAGAGATCTGGGGGTTCTGGCTGACAGCGAGTTCAACATGAGCCAGCAGTGTGCCCTTGCAGCCAACAGGTTCAGCCAGGCTCTGGGGTGCATCAGGCATGGCACTGCTAGGCGGTCAGGGGAAGGGATTGTCCTGCTCTGCTCTGTGCTGGAGTGGCCTCACCTGGAACACTGTGTGCAGTTTTGGGA